GTTCCAAGGTATCAGAGAGCAATACAGTGGAACATTTGCAGGGGGTGGATTTCATATACACAAAACACAACATATACACACCCACCTACCAAATACCCTGGGGCTAAAATGGGTTGGCATGTTTGGCTAAAATCATTGCTCCCCAACCTCCCAACATATTATTCCATCACCATGGTGAGCACCCAGTAGATGGGGGGCGCCCAACGTTTACATACATCTCCAGCCCCACATACCCCCAGCCCAAGCAGTTGATAAAATGCTACCAGATTGGGGCTGAACTTTATTTTTAGCCGGGGCTCAAGCCCTCCTGATTCTAGCCAGGGTAGGTCGACGGGGATACTAAAGGTACTTTCCTGAACCCTGCTTTTATATATATATGATATGTGTGTTAATGTGTGCTTCTTTTAATCAAAGTAGACGTTCTAAGTGTATAAACAATGAATGCAAACTAGAGTTGCGTGTGGTTCCCATTGTCCATGTGAGGAAGAAGGCTCAGCGATTGTGCAGCAAGTTTGATATCAGGTATCGCTCAAATGAGAAGCCAGGGCTTCACTTGCCATATGCTCACCCCTCTCTGGAGAGGGTCCGAACGTATGTGACTTTGGCTGTGCAAGAGAAAAGAATTGAACCCAGGCTCGTTGCAAACTATGACCAAGTCTGGAGCACAATATACCGCCCTGCTAAGAAGGTCTTGCAGAAGCCTGGTGCTGCAAGAGGTTTGTTGAAAGACCTGCTCAGCAAGTCCATGGCTATGCGCAAAATCAGACACAACATAGAACGATGCTTGGACATGACTCTTACAGAAGAAGACCCTGCTGGCGATTCTCATCCCGAGTCCAAGCAGGGCTTGCATGAGATCGCGGGAGAGAGTGCTGCTGTAGCACCTGTAGATGAATGGCGGGTGCCCCGCACAGTGACAACCATTAGCTTTGCTGATGGGCACGTGTCTCGGGCCTACGTGACCTTGCGGAGCGGCTCAATGCCTGAATCTACCAGAAGGCGATTGAACAAGGAGCTGGACAAGTTCCTCTTCATTGAGCAGCAGCAAGTTTCCAGCCACATTTGGAATGAATCCACGCAGGTTAAGTTCTTGAGCTTTTTGGCACAGGAAGTACGAGCAAGACGGAAGATGCTTGGGTTGGATGCATCAGCTCGTGCTTTGGTGCTTATGGACCAAGCATCTGCACACATGTCCAAGCGGTATGAACGCATCCAGCAGCAATGGAGCAAACAGAACAATATTGCCACTTGGTCTTTGTCGCAATGGATTTTCTTCTGTGTTCTATACTTATAACATCCTACACCTTTTGATTTGGGTACAGTCAATTTTCCTGAAGTTTTTATGGTTCTTTAATGATTTTACATATACACACACACATATATATATACAAACATGTGTGTGTTTTGTTTCAATCGGGAACATACTTTGCTCATCCTTTGAAGGAGCTCATGTCCGGCCGATCTGCCACCCCCGTGCCCAGTGGCTTTGGCGCGGCCGCTGGGCCTAACGATGGGTGGCATCAGTGGCTTCACGCGCTGACCAAATCGTACCTACGATTGGCGGTGGGGTGGGGCTCTTGGCCACAGCTCCGGACCCGTCTAGATGAACTGCAAATGGGTCTGCAGTCCCAGCCAAGCACAAAGCATCTGGATTGCGCATGGTAAACATTTAGTTTTGGTATTGCTTCTTCTTGTTGTTGTGGTTGTTGCTTTGTACAGTATATCTAGTTCCCAAAGGCAAATTTCACTAGCAATGTTCTAAGTGCACCATTCCCACAGGTAGTTGGAACTACCAAGACAAACCACTTGGGCTGTGCTCACAGCCAAGGTGCCCTTTGGAAGTATCGCTGAGGGCAGATGCTTGGGCAATTTCGATGCTGCAAGAGAAAAGGCACCTCTTCTCAAACCAAACGGTTGTTGGGACAAGGTCTTAATTAGAGTGGGACGTTCTAAGTGTATTCAGCTGGTGGAGAATAGGTGGCGCACACATGAATGTACATTGTATATATATATACAGCAATTGGAAGATGTCGCTGACTGGCAAGTATGAGGATCAAATTTTGTGTGAATCAAGTCTGTGAGGAACAGCCGGCTTATTTGGACGTCGTGGCTGCAAAGGGGCTATTGCTCTCAAGAGGATATTGCTCGATGGTTGTTCCGAGGTTCCTCGTCACTGACTTTAACATAATTTGATTGAATCCTTGCTTTTTGAATCCTTCATTGAACTTGGATGTTCTAAGTGGATGTCCACACAAGTATATTGCTCATCTTGTACACATGTAAATGTTTCATATGTGTATATATATATATAAATGCACATACATAAACATATAAACAGTCAAGCTCGTTTTGTTGTCACTGGGCCAATGGTTTATGTATCAGGAAACCTGGACAAGATGCGCGAGGAGATGAATCAGCCACGTGGTGCAATGGATGATCTTCTGCACCTTACAGACTTACCGGATGTGGACGGGGAGGACGTCGATGGCACGTTGGTTCACATGAGGGTCCAAGAACTAGTGCCTTGCAAGATCTTGAAAGGCGTTGCAGTAATTTGGGGATAAATTGGGACTTATGTATGTGTATATATATAACACTATATGTTTCTGATTGACCTAGCTTTAACATGCTTTGGTACACGAGTATGTCTAAACAATCTCATAATGAATGGAGTTACTGTTTGTTTGCTGATAGCTGTTCTGGACATGTGTGAATGTTCTAAGTGTGCACCCACCACATGTGGTACCAAGGCTGGTGAGACCAAGCTTTGCTGGGCAATCCAGAAGGGTGATGATAGCTCCACTCGTGTGGCGCTGCCTACATATATCAGTCAAGTGCTGGAGATGAGAGTATGTAGCTTTGTCAGTGAGCATTCAGCATGGGAAACAAGAATTGAGGGTCGGTTTGCTCAGGGCAAGAATTTAAGCAGCCGACAACAGAAAGCGTATGATCAATGGAAGTTGAGATGTGAGCAGCAGCTGGTGTTCTCCAAGCAACATGAGTGCCTGGTGTGTGATTCCAAAGATGTTGATGAGAGGTGCTTCTCAATTGACCTTTTGCTGCGTGAGGATCCTGAGAAGCTGAAGGTCAAGGCCAGCGACGGGTCTGAGTACAGGCTTGTCTTGTTGCAGAGTGCCCCGTCCATCCAACCTCATGATGACCTACCCTCAGAACTGGATTTGGAATTGCCCGAGGGCATTGCTGAAGGCATGGAACTAGCGGAAGAGGGTTCAGCTGAATCAGGCGAGGAAGCTGCACCCGATGAGTTTGCTGCTCTTCAAGAGGCAGATGAGCAGTACGCCCATGACAACCTGGAAGCTGAGCCTGATGCAGATCTGTTTGCACTAGCAGATTCAGATGAGGAAATATGTTTGGATGAGGACAACATCACGCAAAGAAGGTGAAGTCCTTCAACTTTCGTCCGGCTTGGAAGTCTTTGGAAGAGAAGGGGCTCACCATGCTACCGCGTGGAGTGCCGGGTTGCAGTATATCGTACCACGCCACCAGCAAACAGTGGCAGGGGATGTATCCGGGAGTCCATGACCGCGCAGCAATTCCAATGTCAGCCGTGTGGGGTGGCACCACGCGTCGCAGTGAGCCAGAAGCCATTCTACGGGCCATCAGGGGTATATTGCATGCTCACATTTCACTTAATCCGAAAGAGATGTTATGGAAAGGACAATTGGCCCGAGTAGAGCAGGCAAAGGCAACACAAAGTTTTTGATTTCATCTCTCAGGGTACAAATGTTTCCAGCTAAGTGGTGCGCAACCACAAATATATATAATGTTTGTGTTTGTTGTATATAATGTTCTAAGTGTGTTGGGACTGCCACCTAAAACTGAGCCGCCGGAGGTGTGGGGATTCCTTCAGTTTCATTCAGATGCACAAGCTGAATGATTCACAAGAAACCAAAGGATACACCAATGGTTAGCGTGATGAACTTTGGTGGAAATCCCCACTAGCTTATTATATGTGTGAAGTGGCCATGTCCTCCATTTCCTGCACGAAAACAGCATTCTCCCTTGCAAGGTTATATAGTGTTCATTTGTAGCTCTCCATGTACTGAGCATTGTTATCTATCTATCTCTCTATCTCTCTCTATCTATTGTTATTGTTTTGATGGATGACTCCGGAGTTGAAGAGCCTTGCTTGGGGTCCAATCATGTGCAGAGCGCTGATGATGGCCAAGACTTTTAGTACAGCTTGGCCCCGGCTGTGCACCTACCAATGGTGCATGCGCGCTGTGCGTTCATGATTCAATACCTGGTGTGACTTGCACCACCGGGCTGCACAACTGCAACCTGTGTCCGACGCATAAGGTTTGATTCAAATGTAAAACACCATGTTTGTTTGTATCAAATGTTCTATGTGATGCAGCCCTAAGGGGATTTGTGCATGCATTGGCGCAATGGGCCAATGGAGGCAACGGTTCAATGAATCAACTGTATCATGATTTCCTATAGTTGTTTCTGGGAAGATGCGCCTATGTGACATTCTGTGTTTGCCGACATAGTGTTGGTGCTCCTGCATCAATGCGGCTGGGGTTGCCTTTGCAGGCGATGTTTCACTGTGTTCAGGATTTGAGAGCTAGGGCAACACGAAAGAGAGAAGACAAATAGTTTCCATCTGTGCTCTTTGGATGCAATGCTTGCTACAAAACAAGGGGTGTAGTGAAACACACAAACACATGTCATGTTCTAAGTGTGTGCACTCAGAGAGGAATGCATCATTGCTCTTTTGACACAAAGAAAGCCTTACTATGTAGACCTGCCTTGAACCTTCTCTGCTACTCTATACGGCAGCTTTGCTCCTATCCGCCTTTTCTTCCCACAGCTTTCAGGTGGTTTTGCAATTCACCTGGAACTTTTCCACTTACTCATACGCGAATCAACAGTGTCGCTCCTATCCCGCTTTTGCTTCCACAGCTTCAGGTGGTCTTGCTATTCACCACTACCCCCTACACCAAGCGACAGGAACGTGCTGCTTGTGTCCCCATGTTCTAAGTGCATACACTCACAATGGAATCCATGGCACATGCATGATTGCTCTTTTGTTTCATCATAGAAAGCCTCCTTGTGTAGACCTGTCTTGATCTTTTCTGCTACTCCACTACGCCAGGCCAAAGACCTCAGGTGGCCTTGCACTTCACCAGTATATGTATATACAACCCTCTTGCATCTATCCATGTTCCTCATATATAATGTTCTAAGTGTGCTGATGCAGCATGTTCTAAGCGAGCAATCCTTGGACGTTCTAAGTGTGCAATCCAGGATGTTCTAAAAACGATGTTCTAAGTAAAGGGTTTCGGGTTTTGGAAAAACGATGTTCTAAGTGTATGTCTGCAAGTATATAAAGTTCTATAAATATGTAGGAGGGTGGTAAGAAAGAGAAGTAGCAAAAAGGTAAGGACCATGAGAAGAAGGAGCTGTTTCCAATGACTTGTTGACCATACATCCCCAGTCCAACAGAAGGGAGAAGGATGGCGAGAAGAGGCATCGATGTAGAATGCTCCAAATGACTTCTGCGGTCGACATTCCCTGTAGTCTTGACATTTTGGGGGTTTGTTGTTTCAGCCAGGAGGCCAGCAGAAAAGACATTTCATGTGACATGAAGGAATCAAAGGAGCAGTGTTGGTTGTTGGAACCTGTTTCCTGCAAACAGTGTCCAGGTGGGCTTGGCCACACGTGCTCCGTTTCCCTTCCACCTATTAAGAATATGGGTGCCCCCTCCCCTTAAAAAAAAGGTCTGCATCTTGGGTTTTTTAAATTCCCGAAAGCATTGCGAAGAGTTCTTCCGGAAAATCCCTTGAACACTGACATCGTGCTCTACGCATTGCTGATGAAGGCTCCGAGTACCGCGGTGACACAAAAGGCTAGAGGCATTCTTTCTAATGCAAGCTGGATGAAGAAGGTCTGCGCATTATGCCATCAAGTCAGATTAGCACTGCCATTTGAAGGGCGGCTTACTGGGCATGGCCTGGTCATTCCAAGAGGACATCCTTGTGGGTTGAAAGTGTCACAAAGTACGCATAGCAGTCGGAGCTATGTCAAGGTAGGCAAGTGGCAGAACACCTTCCGGCTGGCAGAGAAACTGGCGTGAAGGTTTGTCAAAAGCGGCCAAACGCAGACAGAGGGACAAACTCAAGATTCATGCGCTGCAGGAGACTCAAGTTTAAGATGCACCATGAATCAAGGCAAAGTGTGGTCAAAGGGTTCAGGCAAGAGGCAGGATGGCGGTCATACACGCAAAGCAGGTCGTGAGTTTGTGCCAGACAGAGATGGCAACGAGATCTGCTTCGCTTTTTGTAAAGTTTTAAAGGTGCCCTTGGTGCGTGCCCTGAACCTTGTCGGAGTCAGAGATCGCATCTCTGCCAGTACTGCTAAGGCGCCCATCCCAACTCCCAGTGCAGAAGAGGACCTTTCCAGTGGAGAACCCTTCACTTCCTTTCATCTTCTGGCAGCTGAAGGTGGTGCTGCGGCTTTTTCGACTACCAGATGTTGAGTTAGTGTTGCTGCATCAATGCCCGTATGTGCCTGTCTTGCCCGCGCCACCTCGAGCTAAGAAGGTCTGGGCCCGGCGGCCGAACGGACTGTCCGATCCCAATACTCTTGACATCGTGCTGCATACTGAAACACTCCAACCCATGGGCAAAAGGGGCCAAAGTCCAAGTTCATTAGCAACCTCCCTTCATTGTTAGCTCTGTCTGATCAACTCACGCTGGTTACGGTATCTATCAAACTGCTGACCTCTGCACCTATTCTCCGCCTGCATAACCACATGCCAAGCTTCAGGAAACTCTTGATTGAGTTTTGCAACCTGTTGAAGAGCAACCATGACGATGGGTTCGGCGGGACGATGTGCTGTAGGGTTGGCTAGATGTTTGATCATGAGCAACACTGTTCTGTAAATCTTCCAACAAGCCGCCCACGCACCGTATGTGGGAGGACCCGGAATCTCAACTGTCTTGCGCCTGTCATATGGTGTCAGTACTGAAAATCAGCATAAGGCGCTTCACGAAAATGTCAGCTGTAGTCAACAGTTCAACTTCAGTTTCGCCCAGCTGATCAACCGCTGGGCTCATTTGACATTCTTGGTGGATGAAGCTCCTGCAGAAGATGCAGCAGCTCCCCCACCTCCGCCAGCAGTCCTAGGGGCTGTAGAGGCTGTAGCGTAATCAGGCAGCAAGGGATCATTGTCCACTAGTCCACAAGCAAGCCTAGCAAAATGCCAAGTCAACGCAACCTGAATGATCTCCACAGCTGAGAGAGGGCGCTCACGGCCGCGTGTGGGGGGAATTCGCGCGCTGCTAGTAGCCTCCTGGAGAGTGTGTTGAGGCAATGTTGCAAAAACCCGCAACTGCGTGCAGCCACCCAATGTATTGGAAAACTGCCGCCACACGGCTGGTTGAAGCCCGGCGCATGTACACACACGCTCAACAGTGTCAAGGCCGCCCAGTTCCGCGTCTGTGGGTAACAACTGTCTTGCCATGCAGTAATCCAGGAAACGACTGGGGACCGATGAGCGTAGGCTGCAACTGCTCACAATCTGAGGGCTTGCGGGGCACCAAGCAACACCACACGCAGCAACTTCCACAAAGAGCCCTAACAAGAAACGCCACGGCCAGGAACAACTCCAAGAACATGGCATTAAAAGATGGGGGCCCGTGGTAGCTGATGATCTTGAGCCAAGATGGTGGTTCAAGATCATTTTCAACCCTACCACCAACAAGACAACCACCTGTTTCCATTCTTATTTCACGAACCCATAAAAAATGCTTCCACAAAGCTTCGGGAACTTCTAGGACTGCACAAGGGCGCAAAAAACAAATCCATTGTAACCAACAGTAGACCACGAAAGATTGATGAAAAAAGACAGGAACCCCCTTGTCTGCACAGTTACTGTAACCAGCAACTGGTTCCTGATTTTTCCTATTCCCCCAAACATTTAATTACTGTTGGGGTTCTATCTTAGAAACTAGACGACGAGTGGCCCGAAAGCATTTTTCATCACGTAGGAAGTCAGAGTGCGAGTTATCTGTTAAGTGTGAAGTGTTAAGTCGAGTGAGTTGAGGTAGTGTGTGGGTCTCTGTGTGTGTATCTATGTCCGTGTGTATATGAGTCTCTGTCTGTGTGTGTGTCCGAGTAAGTTGAGGCAGTGCGTGGGTCTCTGTGTGTGATGTGCGTGTATGAGTCCCTGTCTGTGTGTGTATGTCCATGGTGAAGGTCTTCACTGTACATATAGTGAACGAATTAGCGCGCAGGCCTCCCAAACCCCCCACCGGCGGCCAAGCGGTGACAGCCCAGCTCATCGTCGTGAGCATTTGGGCTGCTGGTAAGGGGAGAAGCAGCGTGCACGCCTCCAGGACATCTCACTGAAAAAAGCAAGCTGGAATGAAGCGTACTAAAGTTGTACTACAAAGTCGCCGGTTCTCATCTTCCAGCTCCACAGATTGCTCCGCGTACTAAAGTTCTACTACCAAGTCGCCAGTTCTCATCTTCCAACTCCCCAGATACTCCGTGTACTCAAGTTGTACTACCAAGTCGCCAGTTCTCATCTTCCAGCTCCCCAGCTAGTCCGCGTACTAAAGTTGCACTACAAAGTCACCAGTTCTCATCTTCCAACTCCCCAGCTACTCCGCGTACTAAAGTTGCACTACCAAGTCGCCAGTTCTCATCTTCCAGCTCCCCAGCTACTCCGCGTACTAAAGTTGTACTACAAAGTCGCCAGTTCTCA